CGGAGGCGAGTGTCTCTGTGTTTGCGAGGTGCACTTGTAGTAGTGTCTCTGCAGGTGCTGGCTACGAGTAGCGAACAGCAGTATTGGCGCCAAAAGTCAAGGCATACAGCGGCATATCAATCTGGTGCGCGCAACTCCTGTGTGCAGGGCGACGACAAGAGTGTGACACGTGCACTTCCACGCTTGCGAGAAGAAAGGCTGTCAAAGAAAGGATTCCTTCTCTCGAAGCAAGACGGCATCGGATAGGGCATGAGTTAATCGCTGTCACACATGAGAAGAACCGTGCTCCAAGGTGGGGCGAGCTCTCCCGTGCACATATCATCGAAACCACCACGCGAACATTCGTCAGACCACAAATCCAAAGGGTACCCGTATCCTACCTCGACGTGCACACCCAACGAAACCCATGTCCCCCCACCCAAACAATAATTATAATTATACTCTGCAGNCCCCGGCTTACCTCCACCACAATAACTTCTATGCCCAGTTTCTGCAGCTCGAGCGCAGCACCAAGCCCTGCGAATCCGGCCCCGACAACAACGACCCGGTGCGGCCGTCCCAACGAGCTCACTACGATAGGCTTGATGGAGTCATCTCGCGGTTTCTTTTTTCGTGCAGTGGCCGTGAGGTCGCCGCCGCCGCCCTCCATCTTCCGCTTCTTCGTCGCTGCCTCCGCAGCGCTAGTGTCTTCCTGCCTTCTCTTCTTCTTTCTGGAGGACTGTTGAAGCTGCTGCTGCTGCTGCATCTTCCGTTGCTGCTGCAGCTTCTGCTGCTTTCGCCGTTGCTGCCGCAGCTTCTCCATCTTCCGCTGTTGCTTCCGTCGCTGCCTCTGCCGCTCCTCTTCCTCCTCATCATCTCCCTCCTCCTCCCCCTCCTCCTCCTCCTCTTCTTCCTCCTCCTCTTCCTGCTCCTCCTCCTCCTGCTCCTCCTCCTCCTCATCTTCCNCTCCTCCTCCTCCTCCTCCTCCTTCTCCTTCTCCTTCTCCTTCTCCTCCCGTCTCCGATTGTGCTCTCTCAAGCGTGCTTCCCTTTCTCTATCCTGCTGCTGCTGCCGCTGCTGCTGCTGCTGCTGCTGCTGCTCCAGTCCCCTCACCTCCTTCTGGAGAACCCGCAGCTCCTCCTGCCGGTGCTGCTGCCGCTCCTGTTGCTGCAGCACCACCTGCTTCCGGGCGGCCCTTCTCGCCTTCTTCTCCGCCGCCGACATGTTAGCAGGGTTATCGACCATCCTCAGCGGACGTACCACCGGTTGCGACACCGCCTCTATCGCCGCCTCACCCGACCCTTGTGCCCGCTGGAGTTGCTTCTGCTGCAGCAGCTGCTGCTGGCGTGGCGGCACCAAGGGCGACGCGCCCGCCAGGAGGCTGGCGGTGGAGGATATTGGACACACTCTGAGGTTGATCGAGTCGAAGTTGGGCATCAGGCCCTGGGCCTGCCTGAGGTTGAGGATGTCCATAAGCCCGGGGCTCCTCGTCTGCGACGCGTTGGAGCACGAGGGGGCCAAAAAGGAATGAGCGAGAGAGAACATGATACGGCGAGTGATAAAGGCAAGACACGAGGGATTCGAGCCAGAGTGAGAGGAGTCCCACGAGAGAAATAGACTAATAACATGACAACAACAACAACAACAACAACAACAACAACGCCTTGACTACAGCAGGGAGACCTACGAGAAAAAACGACAACAACATCAGAGCGTTTAGGATTAGAGCGTGTGCCTCTAGAGATGTAGATGGGGGCCAAGCGGACGGGAGGAACGCGCACACTCGTCAAGGTCTCAACAAGTTGTTCATTGGGCTCTTCACGAGAATAACGCATTGTTCTTGAGATTCCCCGACACCTCTGAAACCGTCAACTGGGTAAGTTTTCACGCCGACGCTGAGACAGACCAAGGAAAAAGTGTCCCCCCCCCGTCCTGTGGAAGTAAGAAGTGCAAGAAGCCCAACACCCTTAACAGGATCCAGCGCACCCTCCAAGCAACTTGCCGAATACCTCACGGCGCTTCGCGCTTGGTGATGTGAGAGCCTAGTCCGGTGAGAACCCGGCGCGCTCCGTTCCGGCCTTGAAGGGATGCATGGTCAATGGTCTAACAACTACGGCAAGCACGACTTTGAGTACACCCCGCACCCCTCCCCTCCCCTCCCCGGCAAGATTCTCACCTGGCCTCCGCAGAGGGCCATTGCCGCCCCACCGGCCGCCACCTCGTCTGCCTCAAGCATAACCGCCAGGTATCTCTTGTTGTGGATCTGATACGCGTCCGCGGCAACGAGAAACCAAAGGGACAAGCGAACGAACTTGAGGGTGCGCGTCACGACAAGAGTCGCGCGGAGTCGACAACACGATCTTCTCAAGACGGTAAGATGCACTTGACGGTAGGCGTGGAGAGCACTATCCCGAAGTGTGCGTGTGTTTGTTTCCGAACTAGCATCGACCGCTTTGGCCAGCTGACTATAATAACCACTCTTGAGCTCGAGTTTAATGTACCAATGACATCGAACGCTTTACAACCGGCTGACAATGAAATACGTCATGAGCATCGCCCTGCCGGCTCTTATGGCGCAGACTACACAATACTACTACTGCGGTTGGCGAGGAAAAGCACATGTGTGATTGTCCCATCGAACGAAAAACGGCAAGCTGACCTGAACGGACCCGTAGCAGCCACCCTCGAAAGCCATCTGCACGGTCCCGCCCTGAACGACGGAACCGTTCGCCACCAGGTCGGTCCGTCGCCTCTTGCTACCGCTACCGCCGCCGACAACGACCGTGCCGTCGTCGTCGGTCGCGCCTTGCTCGCCGGACCCGACACCCGACCACCCCCCCCGTGCGTCCGAGGCCAACGCGCTTCCGTTCCCCCTCCTCCCACCGGCGGCTCCTGCGGCCCGCGCCCTGCTCTCTTTCCCCTTGCCCATGCCACCGCTTGCCCTCGGCACGGTGGCGGCGGAGGCGCTGGGGGCGACGACAGGCGCAGCGCCGGGCCGGATTCTGACTTGGAGGCCCGTTGGTGTTCCTTTTGCCGGGAGGCGTGCGCCACGTCCGTTCGCCTCGCTCGCTCCGTTGGCGGCGCCGCTGTAGCCCGTCCTCACCCCCGCCGTCGCCGCCGTCGCCGTCGCCGCAGCCGCAGCCGCAGCCGCAGCCGCCGCTGCATGTGCTGCCGCTCGTGTCGGGCCCGCTTCTACCCCGCTACCGCCACCACCCTGGCATCCGGCGGACAGCGCCGCCGGCCGAGGGGCGGAGAACGGGGCGGGCTGCGGCCGCAGGAGCGCGTACGGCACCGACATGAAAGCCGGGGGCTGAGCCCCGCTGCCCCCTCGCGGAGACGAAGAGACGGCGGCCGCGGCGGCACCGCCGCCGTGTGCGGCGATGGAGCTCGCCGAGGAAGACGCCTTGGCCGCTGCTTCTGCCGCGGCCGCCGCCGCCGCTGTGTTTGTTTGTTGCGTTTGGTAAAATACAGTAGATAGTTATTGGGTTGAGTCGGGGTCCGCCGGCAGTTGGTTGGTACTGGTTGCGCTCGTCAAAAATAAAAAATTCGATTTGTTTGGATTCCATGCTGTATGTGCATCTTGTGAATCGAGTGAGGCGTGACAGCGCCCCCCGTCTAGGCTTTTGCTGGCTTTCGTGGAGATGACTCATCATAGAAACGATCGATTTGACAAGGTGGGTGAACACCCGGGCAGTGGAACGCTCAGTCCGGGGGGCGGTCAAAAGTGGCGCAATAAAATAAAAAAAACCCACAGCACTATTCAAGCCTTGTTCCAAACTGGCAGCGGGTTCATGCAAGCCCTACAGCGGCTACCGAGACGGAATACACCGCCCGTTGATGTTCCATATCCATCCGTGAATGCATGATCGCGGGCCCGTGGGAAAACCAGTAGTGGGCAAAGGGGGGAACAAGGGGGTGCGCAATCAAGAACATGACACGAAAATTTGAATCGCAGCGAGTGATGGAGCCCGCTCGTGTAGGTCTCCAAACAATGTCATGAGAGGTGTGCATGTAAGATACGAAGTCTTGAAAAATATACACTCCAGTACCGGCCACGGTTGATCAAAAGTAGCCGGGGTGCCTCGGCCCGTGAGCCATGACTGTCACGCCTGTCTGTGCCGGCGCATTCACACCAAGCACGCAGCTGTGGAAATACCGCGCAACCAACTGTACTGCACGTACATAGTTGTACTGCTGTAGGCAGCACTGAACAAGGCATGACCTCCGTCTTCGTTCAACAAGTGTGAAAGGCACCTAACAAGATCGTCTTTGGCTTGCCCCGGGGCCCAAGAAACTCACACACGACTTACCGCCAACTCCTTAGCCGCTAGCATGGGAGGAGAGGGCAGGGCAACCACTAAGATCGAGTGCGTGAGAGCACGCACGCCAGAGTGGCAGCAAATTTCAAAAGAAGAGAGTCCATTTCCAGTCTTCTCTTCATTGGAAATGTGTGTCCGACGACGACGGGACCAAAAAGCGTTATACCTAGGGAAGCAGCCCTGGACGGGGGAGGGCCGCCCTGCCCAGAAGCCGCGAACTTCGACACCACAGGAAGAGCTGGCGGGGGATCGGTGACGGCGAGAGCATCGAGAGAGGCGGGGAAGGCCCTGTATCCGCCGTGGTATGGCGAGAGAGATCGGGCCTGGTTGTTGTTGCTGTCAGGATTCAAAGATGATGCCGCTCCGCCTCCTCCGCCTCCGCGGGACCTGTCAGCAGCAGATTGAGCCGGAGCTCCTCCTTTCCTCGCCGCGGTTCCTTTCCCTGCCGCATCCATGGGAACGGCCAATCGAGGATGCCGTGAAGTAGTAACCACGGTCAAGAACCCCCCCCCTCTCTACCTTTTTACTATCAACAATCGCAGCACACTTTCCTCCTCCTCCTCCTCCTCTCGCGGAGCAGCTTGGCAGCTGGGTAGAGGGGGCTCGCGGGTGGTACAAGCATGGGGTAACCGGGGGTCGCGGGATTCTGCTGGATTCGCCGCATCTGCATCTCTGATTCATCTACCAAAGGGTAATCAAAGAGACACATACCTAGTCTCCGGGGAACGTGCTGCCACGCAACGGCTGGTGTTGTGTGGGATGGAGTGTAGCACCTACTGCAGCTATGGACGGCCTCGATCATGCATGGAATTAGTCTCCGCAGGCATCACGGCCGTCTTCTTGCTGCAAGGCGCGGCCGGCTTCGCAGGACATGCCAGCACTGGACGCTCCGCAACGGGCCGCACCACCTCCGCTGCTGTGCCGTTCAGCAACCAGCAGCACAGTTGGCAAGGTTCCCGGCTAGCAGGGAGGGCTGGGTTCCGCAGCAGCATCAAGAGGCGCAGGTTTGGTCAGGCTGGCCTGCTGCTTCGTTGTTCCGGCGGTCTGCCTGCTGCTGCTGCTGCTGCTGCTGCTGCTGCTGTGAAAGACGACGGATCAGCAGGATCTGACGAGGTACAGCAGGCAGATAATGTGTCACGCGTCACACACACAGACACCGGTTGGTCGCGTGTCGTTGGTAAGACGCAGTCCAGCGATAGCCAACCACCGACGCAACCGGAGAGGACAACTCGCTGCGAGCAGAGCGATTCACCATGAACCCTGTCCAAGCAATGACGTTTTGTTTGTTGTTAAAATATAGCAAGGGCTGTGCTGTTATCGCCTTCAACTCGGTGAAAATCGGAAATCGCCCATCAACCAGCGTCTGAAACGGAAGCTCACGCGAGCAGCCATCTGTTCACGCCACGCCACCGGCGGTCAGTGGAAGCGTGCTATACGCAGTAACGCTCCACTTTCGCCCTCCGCGAGGAAATCCAAAGCCGCACTGCACATGGTCCTTCGTTGTTTCGAGTTTGGCCCCTATTTACCTGGCCACATGTAGACTATAATAGTGCTATGCTGTATCTCTAACAAGAAGTATCCCCCCCCCCCCCCCCCCCCCCCCCCCCCCCCCCCCCCCCCCCCCCCCCCC